CAGGGCCCTCGGGCGGGTCCTGCCGCCGGCGCCTTCCCATCGCCCGTGCCCTGAGCAGGTGGCACTGGGGGATGTGCAGGTGGCACTGGGATGTGCAGGTGGCACTGGAGGATGTGCAGGTAGCACTGGGATGTGCAGGTGGCACTGGGGGATGTGCAGGTGGCACTGGGGAGGTGAAGGTCCAGCACTGGGGGATGTGCAGTTGGCACTGAGGATGTGCAGGTAGCATTGGAGGATGTGCAGTTGGCACTGGGGATGTGTAGGTGGCACTGGAGGATGTGCTGATCCAGCATTGGGGATGTGCAAGTAGCACTGGGGGATGTGCAGGTGGCACTGGGCGATGTGCTGATCTAGCATTGCGGATGTGTAGGTAGCACTGGAGGATGTGCAGGTGGCACTGGGGATGTCATGTCAGGCAGTGCCTGCCTACCCTGGCTCTGCTTTGTTGCTGGAGAAAGGCTCGGGAGGGATCTCCCCAGGGTATGGGATAGCTTACAGGTGGGTGCAAAGAGGACAGTCAGGCTTTGCTCAGTGGGACAGGACCAGAGTGGCACACACTGAAACGCAGGAGGTGCTGTCTGAGCACAATGAAGCACGTTTTTGCTCTGAGGGTGGCAGAGCACAGGCTGCCCAGGGAGGCTCTGGAATCTCCCTCCTTGGGGATATTCAGAAGCTACCTGGTTATGGTCCTGAGCAAACAGCTTGGGGTGGCCCTGCTTGAGCAGGGGGGTAAACCTCCAGAGATCCCGGACAGCCTCAACCCTCCTTTGATTCTGTACCTCCCTGAAGCTCTGCTGCTGGTGTCATTCTCACAACTCGAAGTTACACAGGTCGACAGGACCCATGTCTGTTCACCCATTGAGAAAAGGGTACTTTGATTTTGTTGGCACAGGCTGTGCCTGTTCTGGGAAACTCAGAGTTTGGAGCACAGTGAAAAGCTCAGGGCAGCAGGCAGAGGCATTGCCCACAGAAGAACAAGTAGCGTGTCAGTTTTGTACAGACTACATGCGTTCTGACCTCAGCATCAAATCCCAATTCTGTGTTTCAGTTTATTCTATATGGCACATTTGGTTACCCACTGAGAGCCCATCAATGGACTTGGAAGCTAAGGATGAAGAGGAGGAGAGTCTACAAACAGCATTCAAAAAGCTGAGAGTGGATGCAGCAGGGTAAGTGAGCAACTAAAAGGGCTGTGTAGTTTGTCAGGTTTTTGTTACATATTTGTATTAGTTTGCATCTCAAAATCAACAGGTAATTTGGTGAGAGGCTCCTTGTTCTCCAAGAGAAGATAAGTGCATCACTTCAGATGAAATGCAGTCATTATAACAAAGTAGTACTTTATGAGTGAGAAATTTTGACACAATATCCAACTGAAATTACACAGTGGCTGTATGGAAACATGAAGTGACTCATCCAGAGCAGTGAACCCACTCTTAACTGTCATGGTAGCTGTGGTCATTTGGTGTGATATAGAACTTGTCCATTTGTGTAAACACTGGTGTCTGCAGCCACTTTACCAGACTTGACTTAGTGCCATTTTTCTTGGAAAGTGTCTGGAGAACAGCACCAACACCTTGGAGTGTGCTGGACAGCTCTGTCTCACTGGGAAGCATTGGGTTAAATATGAGTGCTGAGTGTTTCTGGTTTCAGGGAATTTTGTGGAGTAAAATGTCTGCAGATATGCTTGTACTAAAAACTTCATAACACGCTGGGTGTGCTGATGTCAGGTAGTATAAGACTTTCCTTAAAAGTAGGAACTAATAAAATTAGGCAGTTTAACACTCTGTGGGGCAGTTCAAGTCTTTGGGGAATTCTCAGACACAAGAGAAAGCTTTGTACTGACAGTGTTACCTTGTGAATTCGACTCCACAGCCATCAGCACTGCAAACTCAGGACTTCCTCTGCATGTGGAAATACATTTTGCTTTGCTACTTGTTTCCTCTACTTCAGGAGGTCTTCTGAGAAATGTGGAAAAAATAGCTGTTCTTTAACAGGGAACTGTGCTTATCAAACATAGCACTTTGATGTGTTAGCAGAGACAGACTGTGTGGGACTCTGCTTGATTCCTGATGGTATCTTCTTAGGCATAAAAAGATCTTGTTTTGCAGGCATGTGTTTTGAACAGCTCAAGTCTTGTGACTAATCCTTTAAGATCAACTTGGGGCAGAGTATTTGGCCTCTTCTAGAACTTCAGCCTTGTTTCTTATGGTTTCCCATCCCGTGTTCCAGATCACACCTACAGCCACAATAAATATAGATTGCTGTCTGGACCTCCAGGGCCAGATGTTTTATTCATTCTGTGTTTATGTGGGAAATTTAATGAGAAATAAATTAGTAATCTGTTCTTGTGTGTTGTACCTCATCCAGTTCTCCCCTGAGTCCCCCTCAGCCTGCTGCTCCAGGTTCCTGACTTTGCATTTCAGATGAGCAGGAGCCTATCTTTAACAACTATTGTCTGACAAGAATGTTTGGAACCTGAGTTTACATTCCTTTAATGTGTCATTTTGGTACAAATAGGGCATGACATCAGCCTCTGGGCATTTTGGCTGCCTTTCATTTCATCTCACCTATCTTTAGCCACTTGACTGAGGCCAGTACAGTAGGAGGGTTGGATAAATCTCTGTAATGCCCTGTTTCTACCCACTGGTGATAGAGGAAGTCAGGGCTGCAAACTTGACTGCCTTGGCTCAGCATTCAAAGCAGAGAGGCTGGATCTGGGCTCTGGAGCTGTATGTTGATGTTCTGTGATGTGGCATTTCCCTTTTTACCCAGATGTATTGCAGCTCTGTCTGTGGGCGATGGGACGGTTCTCAGGACAACGGCAAGAGCAGCTGTGGATGGAGCCAAGCAACAGACTGTCTGCTCCAAGGAAGCATGGCATGGGTAAAACATGACACATTTAACAGTTGCATGCTGCTTTCAGTGCAAGTTGTTGCTAATTAGTTGCCTCAACACCTCTTTTCTCTCCGTTCTATTACAAAATTTTTCTGTGACTGTTATGTTTTTTAGGGTATTTCATCAAAGACTTTGAAAGCATATTGGCTCTTCCCTTAGAGAGGGTACTTAAACCTTTCTTTTCCTCTGATTTCCTCAGTAGTTCCTTTCTTCAAGTCTTATCTCTGCAACATCCTCTCACTTCATTCTTGGGTTATGTCTGTATAAAGTACCTGGATGTTCAGTGTGGTTGTCCCAGCAGCTCCAACTGATCCAGGTTCTGCACTACAGAGCAATTTGGGAGGAAAAAGTATCATTTGCTTAACATAGAAGATTTGAGGGAAGATACCTTAAATAAGGGTTGCTTGTGTGTATCGTCTGGGGTAGCCCAAATTTCTTCAGAGTCCTCCACTGTTCCATCAGAGGTTATAAGTGACCAGTCACCAGGTTTTTCGCAGCAGAAAAATAACCTTATGAAATATTTTTAGCCACCTTTTCATGCTTATTGAGCTGTGGTGTAGATTCTGGAGTTACCCACTTGCTCCCCTGTTGTAACCCTGCAGGTGTGTGAGAAAACCTTCCCGAGGATCCACAAGAGTCCCACGTCGCCGACGCTCCAAGTCTCCTGTCCTGCATCCTCCCAAGTTTACATACTGCAACACGAAAGCCAACAACCAGCTGAAACATAAAGCCCAGGCAGACACATCGAAGGGTATGATCAGCTCAGACGTTTTTGCCACAGCAGAGCACGGTACGAAGGACAGGCAGGATTCTCGGCGACAGAACTGACCCGCTGGAAGCTTTCACCGCCGAAGAGCCTTTGGAGAAGTCGAGAGAGAACTGCCCTGCTCTCTCCTCATCCTTTGAAACGAGCTTGCATTCTAGCCAAACCTCAGATTTCCAGTCCTTATCCATGCTTAGCAGCGGCAAGCAGTGCCCTTGTACGGACAAGAAGTGCCAGTGCAAGCAGTGGCGAACCATGGAAGTGTATTCCTTCTCCGGCTTACGGAGCGTCCTGTCGGAGTGCGAGAAGGCAGTCCTGGGAGTCCATGCCCACTCTCTCCAAAACAGAGCCCCTTGTGGGACAGCCTCATCAAGCTCTCCTAGATCTTGTTCTGAGCAAGCTCGAGCCTTTGTGGATGACGTGACTATTGAAGACCTGTCGGGATACATGGAATACTACTTATATATTCCCAAGAAAATGTCTCACATGGCAGAAATGATGTATACTTGACTGAAAGCAACCGAGAATCCTGAAGCAGAGTTTGTTACAATGGTTGGGTTAATTGCCTTGTCAGTGCCATGTTTTCACTGTTGTGTGTTTGAGTAAATGTTTCTTTGCCTCATACAGTTTAGTTTTCTAATAAAATGAAAAATTAAATATAGTTTCCGAGCTTAGTTCTAAAAAGAATGCACTAAAGTCTCTGAATACCTTAACAAAAGCACTCTAGGTCAAATGAGCTGTTTGGTTTTTGGTTTGTGCTGTGGATATTCAAGCTCTGTATGCTGTTTTCACTATGTTTAAAAAAAAAAAAAAAACCAAAACAAAACACTTTAGTTTTTTTCTGAAATTTTGCAGTGTTTGGAAGGTTTATTCTTAACGTGTCCCAGTACTTAGAGAAAAGGTTTGCAGCTACAGCTCTATCCTCCTCATCCTGTCTAGAGAGAAGGATGAGAAGGCATTTGGCATTTTGGATAGGATGAATCTCCTTTCCTTGAACACTATCTGGCTCCTTTTTAGTAGGATCCAGTTGTGAATGCTTCCTCCTCACAAATCTGTTGGGAGGTCCAGAACATGCAAGTGTGTGCTTGGACCCTTCCATAATCTAACTCGCTCATTCTTAAGCAGTTCTATTTTTCTGCAGATAAGTGAAGCTCTTAGAAGCAAAAATATATTTTGTTATTTGTGCTTTACAGATGGAATAATATAGGGGGGAGTGGAGCAGGCTAACAGTTTTTTTGGGCTATGCTGTCTCAGGAGTGGGGATGGTGGAGCCATCTGTACAGATTGTTTCTGAGTGTGTCTGATACACAAAGCAGCGTGGAAAGAAGGTGAACAAGAAGTGTGTATCATCCTGGCTTTGTGCTGTAGAGCTATGACATTCCTGTTGGTTGAAAATACTGCAATAAAACATTTTGTTGCCGAGAATTGCATTAATAAATATTTGTCAAAACTCATCAAATTAAAGACTGACTAATTTGACTTACACTCATCTCCCCTCAAGACCTTTTTTTCTGAAAAAAACCAAAAAATTCTGCTTTCAGTGTCAGTTGTACATGCTTAGCAACCATGTCTTACTAAAGTACTGTGATTTTGATTCACAGGCTTAAAAATGAGTGGTCAGCAAGCCAAGGAGTCACAAGCAGTTGTGTAAAAATAGATGATAGCAGATGTGGACAGTTGGCCTTGTATTCTGTGCTGGAGAAGGCTCAGACATTGGATGATAATCCCTGTCTGTAGATTTTATTTTTACCATCCTTAAAATTTACACAATGAATCCAGGAAGTTGAGATTTAAAGTTCAGATAAATCAAAAAACAAGAATACAACTAAAAGCTATTATTTTACTCTTTAGTTTCCTGCTGTTGTTTAGCAGCAATATTTGCTCTGACTCAAATTAAATTTGACCTCTAAATTTTCTCAGATTAGTCCTTTGCTGTCCCCTTCACCTCCCTCTTCAGCACTATCCTGCAATACCCACCCACACACACTTGAGATTTTCTCCACTTTCTCCCTTCAGAAAACTGGTCTAATACGTACTTTGCTTTGAAGCATCTAGTACAAATTACCTTTGTGGCTGGTTTTTTTTTTTCATGCTATTTGTGCTTCATCAGAGGGTGTCTGCTAGTTCATGTGCTGGTTCTGTGCCCTCTTTAAACCAACCACTGGAAGGTATTTGTTGCTGGACACAGGGTTGCTCCCCTTCAGACTAACAATTTCCCTGCCCCTTGGTGAGTGCCAACCTGGAGTCAGTGTGTGAAGCTGGAACACAGCTCTTCCACATGCACAAAAATACAGTTATTTAAACCCAGTATTGGATGTCCCCACTCCCCTCTGCAGCCACAAAGGGGCACAGTGAGGCCCTTCCCCAGAAACGTGGTGTGGCAGCCTGGCTCAAGGTCACCTCGGGGCAGTTCTGCTGTGCTGCACAGTCGTGCTGCTCTTCAGTAAAGCGTGCACAACCCCGGGAAGTGTCTAGACTGGTGTTACATAAACCCAGTACTGATCAACGCTGCTGGAAGGGCACGTTTTCAGCTGTGCAGCAGGACAAAGTGTCACAGACCTGCTGTGTCCAGGGAGAGTGGGGCAACTGGGGAAATGGTGGGTGTTAAACTAGTCCAAGATATGCAATGAAACTGAAGAGAAGTGAACTCAGTTGGCCAGAAGGGCAGGTGGGAGGGAAGAGTCTGAGAGCAGGTTCTCCAGATACACTTCCATAGTGTCCTGTGCAGGACTGAAGTAACTAGTACTGAGGGCAGAAGGAAAGGGAATAAAAAAGAAACAATAACTCAGTGGTTTTGTGTTCTTCCGGAATCCCTGTTTGTGCTAGTGTTTCAGCATGTCTAGTGCAGCCTGCGGCAGGGGAAGGGCAGAGACTTTGGGCTCTTGACTGCAGCTTGAGGCTTGCAGCAAACATCCTGAAACATTGCTGCTGACATTGGCACAGCACAAAACAACCCCTTGGGGTGAATGATGGGCCCTAAGAGAGGCCCCAAACCCAATCTTCCTGTTTCCTTCAAAGCTTTCCCAGTTCAGCTCATTCACTCTGCTAACGCAGTGACTCCTGCTTGCTGCCTGCCTGGAATCTCAAGATTTATTGGAAAACTGCATCTTCTCTGGGAATGCCTGCACAGCACTGTCAGGGTGATTGATGAGCTGAGTTGTCCCAGCACAAGCAGAGCTGAGCACAGCCTTACTGCTCCCAGCCTGCTACTGTACCTGCCCCAACAAGCCTCTGGAATTTTTTCCTGCCCATGGATGCTCTAGAATCTGTCCCCAGACAATCTACAGAAGAGTATGTCTGAAATGCTCTGAGAAACAGAACATTGCAGCACTCCCAGGTCTTTCCTCAGATCAGATCCCACCTTTCTACTTCCTATCTCAGCAGATCCAGGCTGGGTTTTTCTCACTGGCTTTCCCCACTCCCAGCACTTCACAGGTTCTTGCCTGTCTAGTTTCAGGAGTAGTTCAACTGAAGCAGGATGCAGAAGGGCACCCTGGATCAATGACATTTATTTTTTGCCTTACAGAAGCCAAACAGAGTCAGAGCTAAGCTTTACATTGGCAGACACTGAATCAGGCCACTGGGAAAAAAAATCAATGGAGCCATTTCTACAGCCCGATTTTCCACCCTCTCCTTCTAAAGCAGGGAAGGTTCTACTGTGTCTGCAAAGTCTGTGATCTACTCTAGCCTCCTGTTCTCTTATCTCTGTAACCTTTGCATCAGCTCTGAGCCAAGACACCCCAGATTCTGTAATTCCAAACCACCAACACCCACAATCCTGCCCCGATGGCACCTTCTGCCAGGGCTCTGCCAGAGCCACCGGGTCCAGCCACACAGCATCCTACAGAGCAACCCAGCACTGACCCCTTTGGCAGTCAGGAAGGGTATGGACAAGAGCTGGAGATGATCTCAAGGTCACACAAGGTCAGGGCACCCCTAAAGGGGCCAAGCACCCATCCTGCCCCTCAAACCTTTCTCAGTTTAGCCAGCTGAAACCCAACTCAATAAACAGACCCCTACAGAGGCTCTGTGTACCTGCAGGACCCAAAGGGATGCAGCGACCTGTCATTTCTTATTCCCCACAGTGCGGCACTAATTCATCGCAAAATATACCACTAGATGGGGCTTTCCGGACAGCGATCCAGGGAGAGCTGCTGCTGCCTGGTCAACCTGCTTCTTGCCTTTTCTAAACCCACAGTGTCCCTTTCCAAAGAAAGAAGCCCCAAAAGATGCTCCTTGGGCAGCGAGGGCTCTCCTGCACTGGTGGGAGGGGAGGTTCTGGAGCAGAGGGCAGAATGGTGCTGCACCGTGGGGCCAGATCTGTACAGCTCAGTTTTCTCTGAGTTTACAGCAGCACAAATCAGTGTCCTTCCCTTTGCAGCCCAAAAGCAGAGGCCAAGCAAGAGCCTGTCCCTGTGGGTGTTCTTGAGCCAGCACAGGGGCTCTGGCAGCACTTGGGAAGCTCTGGGCTGCTGGAGACGGCAGGAGGAGGCAGGGCACAGCACTTCCAAGGCTCATCCTCACCCTCCTGCACACCCTTGGGATCAGGACTTCACCACACCTAAGGATTCATTTTCACTTTCCAGTGCCCAGAAAATTGTTCCTTGCACTATGTGCATCCCAATACCAGTTTGGCCTCACACCCTCCCAGTGCTGCTGGGCAAAGTGTGCCTCAGTTTCCCCACTTGAACCAGCTCTTTCAAACCCTCCTATTTCCAACCTCACCAGCTCCAGTGGTTCATACTGAGAGTCCCTGCACAGCCTTGAGATGCAGACTGACTCCCTGTGCCTGCAGAGCCCTCTCCCCCATTCTCTCCAGAACATGCCCCTGCAGCCCCCATAACTGGGCTGTTTTTACCCCCTGGCTGTCAGCTAGTCCCGTGTGTGGAAAATTATCTCCAACCTGCCAGATTGCTGGAGATGGAGCATGACAAAGCCAAGTGTCATAAAGGACAGGTCCAGATCACTGTGTCCAGAAAGATGTCAGCTGCCTACACATCTGTGCCTGCAAAACTCTGGTGATGCTCATAAGGTTTGGAGAGCAGCACCTCCAGAAGCCTCAGTGCTCTCTGAGTCTCCTGGCCGGTTTGGAAATGTGACACACCTTGCTAATTCTGGAAATGACCCCCAGCTATGCCTGCTTTGGTGCAGGACAGCTGGCTGGTTTGGCCAAGCATCCCAAGGCTCTGGTACTCAGTGAGGGCTCCTGGGCTCTACCCTGGTACAGGCTACATAACACCCATTAGGCAGAAATTAATCTCTGCTCTCCAAAAATCACCAAATACCTTTACAGAGCTATTGCTGCTTCTTCCCATGAAGGTTACAAAGCAGGCAGGACACCTGCTAGGCATTTTAAAACCAGTATCCA